TTTTTTTTGGTCTTTTTGAGACAGGGTCTCCCTGTAGCCCCAGCTGTCCTAGAACTCACTATGTAGACCAGGCTGGCCTTGAACGCACAGAGATCCGCCTGCCTCTGCCTCCCGAGTGCTGTTACTCAGGTCTTTTAACCTTTACTCTCAGGCTCTATTTCAATTCAGTACTAGATACAGTATTGGCTTACTTTTAAAATATGTCTTAAAATTTGTAGTGTTTTACTGTTTTAATTCAAGTAGATAGTCAAAGAAAAAAGTCACATTATTTTATAACATTTAGTGATTTTATAATGTTTAGGAATTGGGATTGTGGAAGGGGATATATCACATAAATAGTAAATAAGTACATCTTTTCAGGTAAACAAAATGGGAAAATGCTGACCCTGACCAGGACACAGTTATTCTGGAAAATTCCAGAAATTTTGTTACTAAACTTGACTTAATGTGTACAGATCTTGTAGCCCTGTCCTTCTCTCAAAGATTTCCTTTTTGTTCTTACACTTGCACCTCTTCTGTATAGACGCAGCTGTTCTCTGTCCCTGGGAAAGCTAGAACACGTAATCTTCATCTTGGCTATATTGTTGCAGCTTTGACTGCTAGGAGATCTGCATTTACATTTTTAAAAGGCAATTTCAAGCCCTTCTTAGACTTGGGCTTCAGTGTATTTTGTATATTATGTGAGAGTGACCTGAAGAACAGCATTTTCCTCCTGATGAGCTCTGAAATACCTGGTTTTCTCATTGCTGCCCATATTCTCAGTAAAGATACTGCACTTTCTTTCCTTAAATGGAGTCTTTACTGTGATAATCATTTCTTTTTTCACTGAACAGATTGCTTGAGTTGAGTTCTACTAAGCCACAGAAATTCTGATAGGATTTGGGGGAGAGAGAGCTAAATGAGTAGAGCACTTGTTTTTGAGGAGAATGCCAGTGATATTCTGCCTATTTGTTTTCTGTTAGTGCACAGAGCAGCAGAGGCAGCTGCAGACAGAAATACAATGTTTTGGCCTAACTAAGGAGCCATGAGGAAGAAAAAGAAACTCTTTAAAGATGTACATTAGAAAGTGTTTAAAGATATACATTAAAATGTATGCAAAAATCTAACTTAAATTTTGTTAGCCCTTATGCTAATTGCTTATGATTCTTTTATATCTCAAAGCACTAAATTTTGAAAAACCACCTTTTCTTTAGTGTCTCCTTGCCCTTTTAGTTGGCATTTCAGTAGTATTTCTTTGAAACCAATACTCTGATTGATCCCATGTCAGATTGTCAAATTGTTACCAGCATAAACTGTAACTGAAAAAAAAAAAATTGGTATCACAGAATAGAACCTTCAGAATAAAACTGTGTGTCAGTAACTGAAGTAACTAAAGCTAAGTAGTTTAGAAGAAAGTATTTTTGTATTTGAAAAAGAATTCGAAGACATTTGTGTTTAGGCTGTAAGAAAAACAAGCATTGGCTGATTCTTAGCACTGATTCCCAAGCTGACTAGTCGTTTTCAGATTAAATGAAGAAAAGTGTGCTTTTGTTTTTTTTAAAGTTTAAAAGCAGAAAGAGATTTTCAGCCTCCTCCATTTATATGAAAAAAAGGGTTTTGTTGAGGTAGAGGGGCTCTTGGGTCCTGCTGCAAAATGTCAGTAATAGATTGACAGACAAGATACAAGAAAACTCTTGAACCTGTTTCTAACTCCACTTAACTGTTTGTTTTTACTAGAGTTACCTGCCACTGCAGATTTCTCTTCCTCCAGTACTGTTTTTGTTGCTGTGGAAGGGATTTAGAGAAACATTTCCTTAAGGCCTAGTGGTGGTGTTCCTGGTGGTTATCTCCCTCCCTCTTCCCCCTTCCCCCTCCTCTCCCTCTCTCCCTTCCCCCTCCTCCCCCTCCCCCTTCTTTTCTTCTTTTCCTCCTCCCCCTTCTCTGTCTTCTTCTTTTTCTTCTTTGCAAAGAAAAATAACAATTTATACCATTTGTAATCGCCATTCCTGCTCTTAATTGCTGGCAGAGCAGACCTGTGATTAAGTCATTACTGGTAAACTGACTTGACAATAGGTATGTGCTTAGTTAGGAGGATATTCCTTATGTAAGCCACTCACATTCCTCCTGTGTTTGGGGAGGAGTGTTCACTTGATTAAGATGCTGGTTTAGCTGTAATTCTGAAGGGAGGCTGTGCAGTGACACTTGTGCAAATGGTTTTTCACAAGTCTGAGACTTCTCTGCTTCTGTGCCTGCAGCACCCCTCTGGGCGCCTCCCTGGATGAGCAGAGCAGCAGTGCTCTGAAAGGTAGGAGAAAGTTCTCTTTCTAAACTTCCATTTAATGAGTCTTCTTTTATTTGTCTTCTAGGTGACAGCATATGTATGAATTACATAAGTGAGGTTTATACTTGTAAAATATGTCATTCTGAGCTAGAAGCCCACAGGGAAAATCCTTGTTATGAGCCATAAAAGAGTGAATTTAAGAAGTTTCCCAAACTTTGTTACAATGCAATACTTATATTTTTATTGCCAGTTAGATATTATAAAGTCAAATTAAATATAGACTGTGATATATAAATATAAGGAAAGTACGTATTGAATGAATTAGGTCAATCTTGGTACAGCATTTCTTTGCTTACATTAGCTGAAATAGCCACACCTGAAATTTTAGCACCTGTACAAGACATACTTCTCCAGTTCAAAGTACAACAAGAATGTACAGGTAGTGGCAAGACGAATAAAGAGCATTTACAGTGTCAGGAAAATCTAGTTGAGCTCCTGACTTAAGATGATGGTGTGAGAAAAATGACTGTTTCGGGGTCTGGTTTTCCATGGAACCTTTGGAGGAGTAAGTGTAGAGTCGCCTGGAGCCCTGACTTCTGGGAACTTAACCTGCCCACATTTTTTCTTTACAATAAAAAAAAGTTTATGCTTGCTTCTTGAAATGACATAATCTTAATAAATTCTGAGTTCATACAGGTTTGAGACATTGTCTTGTCCCTTAGGAAACGTTTTGCTGGGTCAGTTTGTTTTAATTAAGACAATGATTTTGCACGGCGATAGGGAAGAATGGAGCACCAGGATACAGTTTCTGCATTTTCATATGTTTTCTTTAGGTGTGCTTGTGAGAAACGGAGGAAGCTTTGAAGATGACTTATCATTGGGAGCTGAAGGTATGCTTGCGGGAGGACCTATATTTTATGTAGTTTTAGTTATCTCAGATGGAAGAAGTACTGTCAGATTCGGCTCCTTGGGGCTAAATTTGAAGATCATGGCAGTGGCTCACATCACACTGTCATAACCTGCAGGATCACTGTCAGGATTGCTCTGAGGTACCATTATGAAATGTCTGTAGCTGCATGTTCCTGATTCAGTGCTTGTGACAGAGCTATGGTGAAGGAAATGAGAGAACTGTCCTGAAGAAGGAAAGGAGCTTAAATATTTACACAGGAGAAACTAAATGGAAGCTTACTTTAGTGGGAAGTGGATTCGTACTTGCAGCTGCAGTTCGTCTTTCTCTGTATTTTCCCCTGCCTTGTTTCCTGAGATTTAGGAGATGAAAGGACAGGCAAAATAGTGGCGTTGATCGAATTTAGACCATTATGCTGGTGTCTATTTCAGACCACATTAACACTTTAAAAGTTTGTTGTATGTTGTTTTTCTATAGGTTCCCAATAAATTTCCCATCATGTAAAATTGTTTTCATTAAAAAAATTATTTTGCTGATATTTAAAAATGTATTTTATAGCTCACCGATTATGAAGCTTTTTTACTTTGTTTTGAAACAAGTTCTCAATGTATAGCCTTGGCCTTGAATTCCCTGTGTAGCCCCTGGCTGACCTCAGATTTGACATTTTTCTGCCTTAGCCTCCCGAGTGCTGAGATTACAGGTGTGAGCCATCACACCTGAATCTACACTGATTGTGTTTTACTTCATCAGGTAGAATAGTTATTGATGACTAAATAGAACAGTTATTAATACGTGCATTTTCACACTGGACTTGGTGACGCCCACCTTTAATCCTAGCACTTGGGAGGCAGAGGCAGGGATCTCTGTGAGACTGAGGCCAGCCTGGTGTACATAGTGACTTCCAGGCCAACTAGGGCTATAGAGACCCTGTATTAAAATGTGTGCGTGTGTGTGTAGTGTGTGTGTGTAGTGTATGTATATGTTTATATAAAAAATTAAGAATTTTGTTAAATGCTTAAAAATTACAAGTTAATGAAAAGTGAATTTATCCACTTAATTTAATATCCTTGATCTTTTACTGTTTTAAATCCATTTGTAAGAAATGTTATTTATTTAGTATCTTATAACATCAGGAATTTTAAAATACATACTTTTATTAACTCTGTCAAAGGATTTTTCAAGGAATAAATAAAGTTTTCTGTTTCCTGCTTCCCAGTCAGTACTTTTGAGAAAATGCTGTCAATACCTTACTAAATTGCATCTCAACATTACTGTAAATAGCACTTTGGATATATGCTTTAGAAACTTCAGAATACTGAATGATTTTTATTGAAAACCAGAACCCAATAAAAGAATCACTTGAAAGAGTATAGTATTGTGTTATTTTCCTAAGAAGTATTTGAAGGCTGTTTTCATTACTTGTGTATTTCCTGAGTGCTGTGTGTGGGACACCATTCTGTGGGATGATAGAGAAGCAGAAAATTGTCACGATCTTGCAGATCAGAAATAAAAAGAATTGTGCTGCAATGGATATTTTTATTATTAAATCTCATTTTTTGGTTATAAATTTAACTCTAAACATGGACAAGTATTTGCTTGACCTTGTTAATCTAGGATACAGTTGAGAGGAAGTTTTTAAAGGAAAAGTTATATGAAAGGGATAGAACATTTCACGTTATTTACATAAAGATTGGCTTTCATTTTGAAACCACATTAGAAATGTTTGGTTATTATTCCTAAACTTAATGGTACTCAGGCCTGTTTTGCTCTTAAGATAGTTGTCATTAAGAGGTTGCATTTAATAGTGCTGCAGATACCTCCTATGCGCTGCATATCTTCCTCATTATTTTTTCAACCTGGTACAAAAGTTTAATTGGCTATCCATTTATCTTTTTATTCTAAACACACAACTAAAAGCAGAAAAATAAATGTAAAAAGATCCAGAAAACCTCCAAAAGCTGTTGGTCGTGTTCTTACTGACACATATGGTTTGTTTAATAATGGGGATTTAATGAGCCAACACAAGACTGTGGCATATTAGCTATTTAGCTGTGACATTGTGGTAACTTGTTTTCTTGGTAATTGTGCCATTGCGATTTGAATCCTTCTAAAAGCTGTGCTCTCCATTTATTACCTGTAGCCAATCACCTCCATGAAAGCGATGCTCAAGTGGAAAACTGGTATGTAGCTCTTTTGTACTGGTCCTTTATAAAAATGAGAGGATTGAAAATAACTTTTATGTTATTATATTTACAGCAACAATATCTTGGCCAAAGAGAAAAGACTCCAGTTTCATCAGAAAGGGAGAAGTATGAATTCTACTGGATCTGGGAAAAGCAGTGGCACAGTCTCAAGGTAACACATGATGAAGATGTGTGATGACTGCTGTCAAAGTGACCCGCCCATACCTTTCCAGCCTGAGATTTGACCTTGATAGTATGAACCTAAAGTGTTTACTGGACCATTATAACCAACAGGAGCTTCTTATGCAAAAAGCTGGGGTTAAGCAAGTAAAAAACAATAGATGTGTATGTAAGAGTGCTGGAATTCAGTAGTGAGTATTTTGAATTGTGTAAATATCCTGAAAAAGAAACTCCACAGTGGAGTAACTTCTATTTGCAGAGAACTAAAATTCCCTGTCCTGTTTTAGTATTGAGTAACTTTGATACAAAAATCAGCATAAACCTCTCTAATTTGTGGCTTGATATGTAAGGCTTAATTTCTTTTCAACATGTTAAACCAAATATCTTTGAGATGTACATTAAATCAGCTACTGCATGGGCCTATGGAACCAGTTTTAAGTTGTTACCTAAATTATTATATCACAGCGTGAACATTTTTTTCTGAAGCAAAGCATCCTTTCGTTTAAGTTCCATCTCTAACTTTCTTATTTTCTTCATTGAGCTTTAGAAAGCTTGGATTATCACTGGTGTATGTTAGGATAGAGTAATGAATGTTGAATTCCCAATGGAATCAGAGCATGATGGTCTCTCTCTCTGTAACCTATGTCCTTCTTGCCTTATGCTTCTCACTTCCTGAGTGGATATGGGGCGGGGAGAACTGAAGGAAAACTCCTTCCTCCCTTTCTAACACTGGCTTGTTGCTTTCCTTGCCTCCTAGGGCAGCTGTCTCCCCTAAAGACAAAGATAGTTGGCTAAGCTCAAGTTTCAAAGCATGCTCCTCAGTACCAAAACTGTACGAGCTGCTTAGGGTGCTTTCCATTTTTATTTTGTCTTTAATCCATTTATTCCTTATCATGCCTCATCTGTTTTAATTATTTTAATTGAATTCTTTTATTGGGAATCCCTTAAAATGACCAAAAAAATAAGGTGAGGACTCCCTTAGAGAGTATCTGACAGTTCTTTCTTCTTATGAGTTAGGTTTTAGGTTTTGTTTTATTTTTACCAACACTAGCAACCTGAGAGAATTCATGTGTGCACCCTTTCTAAGGTTGTGTGCCATCCTGCATGGTGTAGTAGGATGCTGAAATAAATGACAGATTAAAGAACAGAAGCTGAGGAAACCATGATCGAGGGCTGTGGATTCATTGGTGATTGGATGTGGACTATACTTTATGTCTTTGTGTTTCTTTTTTGGCTTTTGTAGTGTTTCAGAATTGTTGGAACTTTATGAGGAAGATCCTGAAGAAATTCTTTATAATCTTGGATTTGGGCGAGATGAACCAGATATCGCTTCTAAAATTCCTTCCAGATTTTTTAATTCATCGTCTTTTGCCAGAGGCATAGACATTAAAGTATTTTTGAGTGCCCAAATGCAACGGATGGAAGTGGAGAACCCAAATTATGCTTTAACAAGTAAGACTTTTAGTGTTTCCAAAATTGTAGTGTCTAGGCCAGATGGTCTTAGTTTTAGCGCCTCTCTTATTTTTAGGATAGCAGTGGACTGTTACTTAATGAGGTTAGTAACAGAATAGCTGTTTTACTCATTCTGAATTTTTATTATTCTATTTATAAAGGTTATTCTTTCATTCCTTCTTCATTAATTCTTACCATAATTTATTTGTGAAACTTTGTTTATATCTCCAAATTGCATTTGTTCAAAAAGGAGAGAAGTAGGGGACGAGTTCATTTTAAATTAATGCTAATTGTTAATTTTAAATTAGATCATCCAATTTTACAGCATTTTCTGTAATCTTGAGTAGCTTTGGCCAATTTGATCATTTTTCTCAGATCTGTGCTGATTTTTTTCTGTTTAATAGTGGTTCAAAACAAGATTCTTCTAAGGTTGCCCATGGATAAATTCTAGGTGTTCTTTAATTCTGCTTTCCAGTTCAGTGTAAAATACGTGCTGATGTGCATTTTCTTAGGAAAGTGCAGGGAAATTCTTAACTGAGCCCATGACCTAAACATAAACCACAGCTAGAGATCTATAGCTAATTCTGTTAGATGCAGCACTGTCATCATACTTTGTGCTTATTTCTAACTTTTGAGAAAATTATACATTCCAGTGTTTAAAAATCTTCCTTTTCTTTACCCTATGAATGTAGACAAGTTTTAGGTGTTAACTTGGGGAAAATATGATTTCATAATATTTGGGATCTAAGTTCCCTTACTAGACTTCTAAACTGCCTATTAAGTATATATTCATGCTTGACTATAAACATGTACATTTTTTTTCCTTTCATAGGCCGTTTTCGTCAAATTGAAGTGCTTACTACTGTGGCCAATGCTTTTTCTTCTTTATATTCCCAAGTTTCTGGGACTCCCCTGCAAAGAATTGGAAGTATGTCCTCAGTGACTTCTACTAAGGAGACAACTGATTCCCCTCCACCTTTAACCCGAAGCAATACTGCAAACCGTTTAATGAAAACACTATCAAAACTAAACTTATGTGTTGATAAAACAGAGAAAGGAGAAGGTGGTACTCCTTCCCCCACTAGTGAAAAAGGCAAGATTCTAAATGTTTCAGTGACTGAAGAAAGTGGCAGTAAGAATGATCCCAAGTCTCAGAAACTTGTGAAGAAAAAAGACTCCTCTTCAATGTTGGCTACAGTCAAAGAAGAAGTTTCAGGTAGTTCCGCCACCGTTACAGAGAGTGTTGATGCTGACAGACTTTCTAATGAAGCAAAAGGTCATTTTAGCCAAGAAAGGGAAAGTGAACAAAGCAAAGCAACTAAAAGTCACGAGAATAAACTGCACCAGAAATCTGTTGTTACAGATTCTGATCAGGGTTGTGATTTTAACATGTCCAGCCACAGGGAGTTGGAGAACAGCAGCGAGCTCAGAGATGCGCATGTATCCTCGTCGGAAAAAGAACCTTGTGCACCTCTGACAATCCCATCCATAAGAAATATTATGACACAGCAGAAGGACTCCTTTGAAATGGAAGAGGTAAGTAAAAGGTTTCCTGAGACCAGTTTCTAAGTCAGAAGCTAGGAAGAAAAGTGCCACAAAGTGTTTATGAAATGAGAGGTCCCTAACAGACTCATTCTGGGAAAATTCATCCTCGTGTTGACTTTCTAGGTTTATATTTTACAAACCAAGGGTTGGTCACAGAACTATGTGCTGTGGAGCTCCTCACGTTCTTCTGTCATTTACCAGATGACATCTGATCTCAACCATTTTTCCTTTCTCAAGCCTAAGATACTGTTGCCAGAGAAAGCCTTGAGACAGTATATTCAAATTCAAATCAGTACTCATAATAGTGAAAAACATTGTAAAATCAAATGGGTTTACAGCTCTGTCTCAGCCACTGAATTGCCTGGGACATCTTCGGTGGAGCTTTTCCTGAGGTGTCTCAGTGGTCAGTGTAAGGTGAAGGCAGCTTGGGAATTGATAGTGGTGACTATCATCCACTGAAGGGAGGGCTTTGCAAGCCCAGAAGATCAACATTCAGTAACTTTCTGTTTTTACCTATTGATATTCCTGCTAGTTAAAAAGTTTGAATTAAATGATAAAATTACTCATGAGCTTTGACTAGAAGTCGTTTTAGAGTATAGGAACTGGTATTGAAGAGTTCCAGCTGATTGTTTCAGGCAGGCACCAACCCTGTGGAAGGTGCTTGGCCCCTGAAGCACCCTTTCCCAGCCTGGGAAGCAGGCAGTAGTGCCTCATGTTACACTGAAGGAAACTGAGGTGTGTGTGTGGTGGCTATAAATAATATGAAATTTTTTCTCTTGGAAATGTATGAAAGATTTGCTTTGATAATAATTCACAGTAACTTTAGAATCATATGCCTTATTTTTTAGGGATTGAAAAATGGGCTAAATATTTCTGCCCATAATGTTTTCTTAGCTGAGTTTGTTTCTTTCATATTAGTGAAGACTTTACTTACTGTAAATTTTCAATTGCTGATAGAACTATTTATCATTTCTTGTGATTTTGGGATATTGTTGATCCTTTAATTATAGCTAAAGAGTGAAATAAAAAAGGACTAGAAGCCCTTTGGAATAGAGCATATTCTTCTTGTAAACTGCTATTCTCTTTCTTTTTTTTCCTATACTTTATATTTCAATTCTTTTAATTCCTAAAGTAATTTGTTCCTTATTATAATGAATATGGAAGAGAATTTGATGACTGTTTTAAAAACTGTTGATCTTTAAAACTTACTGATTCCTGTTTCACTATGTTTTGGTCTAAATTAGTCCTAATAATCATTGACAATAGCAGAATTCTTACCTTCCCATAGGCCCCCTCTGCTGTGATAATTACATATGACAGTTTCTTCACTTTAATACAATAGTGCAGTATAAAAGTCTATACAAATTATGTTGTTGGTAATTCAAAATTTGATGTTGGTGACTCAGATTGGATAGCATTTCTACATGTGAGTTTTCAAATAAGTAAAAATTTTTATAATTTCTGGAATTTTAATTCTAAGCAAAAGTGTAGGGAGTGACTGTTCCAGCCTCACCGATCGACCGAGCAGTTGCAGAGTTCTTGGTATCTCTAGTGTGAAGACAGCCATTGTTAAGACTACTGAGCCAGTATCGTGTGGCCCCTTGTTCCATTTTTAATTTATTTTTTTTTGGTTGTTTTGAGACAGGGTCTCTCTATAGTCACAGCTAGCCTGGATTCGCTATGGAGACCAGGCTGGCCTTGAACTCACAGAAATCCACCTGCCTCTGCCTCTAAAGTGCTAAGATTAAAGGCTTGTTCCACCATGCCCAGCTCACAAACATTTATGTGATAGATGAAGTTTGGTGGCAAGTTAACTTTTTGATAAACTTTTTTTGTTTTTGCTCCCTCTACTGACCAAATAAATTAGTGAAAAAACAATGTGAACTTTTTCTAACATACAATGTTATAAGAATAGTTAACAAAAATAACTAAGCTATATATATATATATATTATATATTATATACACTATATATATAGTGGATATATAGTGGCCAGGCATGATGTTGTATATATAAATCCTAACACCCCGAAGCATGAGGTAGGAAGACCTAGAGTTTGAGACTAGCTTAGACTACGTACCACGTTGCAGGCCAGCCTGGTGTATGTAGTGAGACATTTTCTCAAAAACAAATAAAAAATTATTTTTAATAGATTATAGGTCTATTATAAAAAGGGGAATTTTAAGGGGTAGTGAATCCTTATTCTTCATGTATGTTTAAAATATGGCTAAAAACCTCCTAGAATTGTGTTTTTATCCCTTTGGGAACTTTAAAGAAGGCTTGTAGAACAATGGATAAAGCAAGGAAATAATGCGTTATTTTAATTTCCTCTTTAGCATGATTTGAATCATACTGACAGACTAGAGAACAATCTTTCTGAGACAGACCTTTAGATCCCATTCAAAGTAGCTGAGTACTGTTTTTCTCTCAGACTCTCTTTGGTTGAGGTTGGACTCCTGTTGAGAACTTTCTTCCTGTATAAGCAGCAAGTAAATAATAAGTTAGAGCTCTCATTCTGTCAGGAAGTCAGTTCTCAGTCTGACTGCCAGCACCTCGGGATACTAGGTAGGCGACGCTGTGCAGTGTGATACTGTGCGGGAAGCTGCCTAACCAGCTGAGATAGGAGGTAAGACGTGACAGTAACCAGGACCAAGAGCAGACATGTTTAAATGTGAAGAGAGCTAAACAAATGATAAGGTTGATCCAGGCTTGGGAGTGCAAGTCACTATGCCTTATGGTAAGAAAAGGAAGGAAATGTCCAGAGGCTCTTTCCATTGAAAATCAGCTTGCCTTATACAAAACATTCGAGAATGGTCTGAGTATCCAGAAATCTCAAACTCTGCTAGAGATTTCTCAGTTTTTGTTTGGGTTGTGGGGAAAAGTTTTCAATTCTTAGAGGCTTAGTTAGATAAATTTTGTGTTCTTGTTGGTTTATTTGAATATTTCATGGTAACTCTGGAGTCATACATTAGAAATTTGAATGATTCACAGTTAAATCAAGTGATCCTGTTGAATAAACAGTTGCTCATGTTTTGTGGGTGGAAGCAAAAGCTCTTACCTTCTAGAGGAAAGAGGGCTTCCCTGCCTGCTGTGATCTTTACTGTAAATGATCTTCTGTTAAATGGAATCATTATTGGAGGGATATACAATCTTTCTTAAGATACTAAAATTTTAGTTACTGTTTCCAATCTTGTCTTCATACGATTATTGATTTGACTAATAGAAGTCATTACTTTTAGCTTCTAAGTTTTAAGATGTACTCTTTATTGGTTTGACTTAAAATAAGCCCAAGTCAGTCGAATACTTGAGAAATAGTTAAGTTGTTCATTTAGTCTTCCAAATTGGCTGTGAGGTTTCCTTTTTTGAGACAAGGTGTTGCTATATAGTTCAAGGTTGACCTTGAACTCACAGTATCCTCCTGCTTCAGCCTCCCAAATGTTGCAATTAATAGACCTGTGTCATTGAGCCCAGCACTAGCTGTGGTTTTTGGAAACAAGAATATGAACTCTAACCTGTGATACCTACACCAATGTCTGTTATCTCAAAGCCTCAGAGTTACTGAGTTTACTTGTTTTTTTATGTACAATACTTTGTGTGTTTTTTCCTGACAGTGAAAACGTCTTACTCTCTGTCTCTGCCTCTCTCTCTCTCTCTCTCTCTCTCTCTCTCTCTCTCTCTCTGTATGTGTGTATGTGTGTTTAAAAACTTCAGGATTTTTCTTTAAGGTAACATACAAGTAGTTATAGAATCATATTCTAGCAGAAAGAAGGTTGTTTGAATTCATTTCCCAGTTTCCTCCTTATACAAATGAGGAGGCATCTTCCTGCCACTTAGCATTGCATAGTACTTTCCAGCATTGGTGGTCGCTGTCTTTCTGTGGGTTGTCATATTCCTTGTGAGACCAGAGCTTCTCAGGCAATGGAGGTGTCAGTAGAGGATGGCTGAGAGGGGTCTTCTGTCATGTCCTTTCTACCTGATGTTTCAAAGTTCCCATGCAGGTGCATATGATCAGTCTAAGGACTTGGGATGGGGAGTTTTCATCTTTATTTTATAATAGAAAAAGCAGATAATTATCACAGATATTTGGAAGTCAGTAAACAGCATTAACAAGACTTGAATTCAGGAATAGCTACTTCTAACTAACTATACCATGTATTTGGTCAGACTGGATAATAGGATGATACAGTGGGCTAGAACTGACATGCAGCTCTACACAACTTCTTTGAAAAAAAATGCTTTTTTTTTGAGATTACAAAACAGAGTTGTAATTTCTAAATACTTTAATTTCAATTTTATTTCAACATTATTTTATGTTTATGTCTATACAGTAACAAAGCCATGCCTTTTTAAACCTGAGAGGAAGGGCAGGGTTAGAGCAGCAAAACATCCCTGTTCTGTAGAGCACACTGCAATAGGATTATACCTAGAAGAGTTATTGCCACCAAGAAATCAAACTCATGGTAGCTAGACACTGATCCAAAAAGCTATGGGCTGTGTGGGCTGTTCTCAAGCTCTTTTTGTACATCTCTAAATCCCAAAATACTTGGACCAAACAGTTCTGTCATTTTTGTTTAATGTGGGGTTTTCCCCTTTTTATTATGAAAAGTTTTGAACTTACCTAAAGTTTAGAGAAAATTGTATAATGAATTTCCATTATTTATCACTCAGTTCAGTTACTTTGGTTCTCTTCTTATGAATTTAATCATAGGCCACCTGCAGCATGTGACCAGAGTTCCACTGAGCACCAGGAAAACTTGCCATTATAAATCAGCATTCAGTATTTGCTTAATATTTTTCTGCTCAAATTTAACTGTCTTTTGCACAGTTGTGACCAAAATAAAATCTAAGAAATATACTATCACTCGCTGTCATCAACAGTTTAATACTAAGATTTTGCTGAGTGAAAATACTCATCCTGACAGTAGTTTTGTAAGTAAAATATGACCCTCTCAGACTTAAATGCCCCTGTCTTGCAACTGATGGATGACTTTGTAATCAAAGGAGAGATTTTGTTTTGCTTAGAGTAATATACTGAAGGATAGACAGTACACAGAAGTAAGTATGCTCATTAAATTCATGCCACTTTTTGGTCATTTTATGTCTAAGGAAATAGAATATTTGACAATTCTGTATTTCAAAGTGAGAGATTAAAATTGGGTGTGCCATTGGCAGTGTCTAAGCTAAGATTCCTAAAATGTAAATAGTTATCTGAATTTCTTTTGCACTGTTTTGATCTGGTTGATAATTATTTTTTAGAAATCTCTCTGTAGTATTCTGGGCCTGAGTAGCAGCTAATAATAGATGTTTTGTTGAATATAAAAAGAAAATGTGTTTTGTTCCCTTGCACATGAAACAATGGTTTTCCGGTTGAACTTGTATCTATTGCTTTGAGTAATATAAAAGTTACACAGTAGCAAGAAATAGTAGAACTTATTTACAGGAGAGTGGTATTAAATGCTCACTCTTTTCTGTTTCTTAAAAAGTCATAAATGTTTCTTCATGGGAGAATATAAAGTTTTCACAAATCGGAGAAACTCTTAAATGTGTAGTGATATCATTTAATCTTTCTTTTGAATGTTGACTTTTCTTAGTTCTATGATACATCATTCTTGAATGTCTTGAAAGCTCAGAGTTCAGTTTAAAACCTTGTTTGGTATTTTCTCTCTGATTTATTCAAATTTGAAAACCTGTGTTTGGCCATTTTTCTTACTGTGATATGATAAAGTAATGGCAATTAATGTTCCCCTCCCGCAAATGTCTACTCTTGACATATTAGCATGGCTAGCTAGTGTCTTCACAGGGTGTCATGTTTAGGAATCAAAATTTTCTCAATGGTATAGATGTACAAGTACAAAAGCACTTTTGTGGGCTTGATATCTATATTGAATATAGTTTTTAGGGAGATTTTTATGGTTAAGACCTTTCAACATTTTAGTTATAATAAAATTTTCCTTTTCACTTAAAATACCAAGGTATATCATGAAAGAACATTTGTCCCAGAACAGGGCATTCCTACATGTGAGTGACATTTGATTCCTGAAATGGTGGGATTTTAGAAAATTTCACAGTGGAGCATGGTGTTCTAAAATATTTCTCAGTCATGCCCTGCTGTGGTGCTCCTCGGATTGAAGCTCCTTGAAAGTTTAATGTTTGGACAACTTTCTGGTATGGGCCAGTTTTCATATGTAGCAACATTTTAGAAATGAGGTAGTTTATTCATGGAGTAATTTTTCTTTCTCTGCTACCTAGGTTGCTATGTTTTGCCAGGAAATAGGTCAGAAAATTAAGTTGTGGCACATGCTGACAATTTTAAAATAAAATAATCTCTATAGGGGCTGGAGAGATGACTCAGCAGTAAGAGCACTGGCTGCTCCCTCTTCTGGCCTCTGCAGTTCCTGCATGTATGGGTCGGTGCACTTAGATAGAGGCAGAATACCCCTACACATAAAATAGGAAGAACCGAGCTTCTTAAAGGAAAGGACGTTAGATAGGCTTACTAGACATCAGTGGATGAACTTGCACTGAGGGATGTCTGGGGACACTAATGTGACATTATAGGCCTTAACACAAAGGACAGAATGCATGAATTCCAGTGGGGGGTGGGCTATGGGAGGGTGCCAGTGGGGAAGGGAGGATGATTAAGATGCTCTGTATGAAATACACAAAAATTCAATAAAAACTTAGAAAAAATGAGTAAATAATATTTTAAAACAGTTTAAAAATCTCTATATAGTATTTGGTATACTTTAGTTGACTGGCTTGGTTAATGAATAACTACCAAGAGATATTCTTCCTTGCCATAAACTTTTTTAGTTTAACTACTTACTCTGTTTTAGGTTCAGAGCACAGAGGGAGAAGCACCGCACGTGCCAGCTGCTTGCCAGCTAGGTCTCACCAAGTCCAAAAGAGGTGAGTAGACCACTGCCCCTAGTCCCCTGACATTTTCTTGCGTGTAGCCAGTGATTTGGAAAGGGCATTACCTATCAGTGTAAAGTAAACAATTAGGAACACACGGTGGGGTATGTTATTATTTCATAGTATAATTTTTGTGTGTTTTAAAAAAACTGTCATGCTCATAAACTAATACTGGATTGTTTATCCTCTAGTGACCTTATTACACAGTTCTGGGTGCTCTGAATATTTTTCAGATCTGCACAAGGGATGACTAGAAAGTGACTGAAACAGATTAAGACTACTTTTTTATTGTTATAATGAAAATTGTGCTTGTTTTCTCCATCTCTGGGTTTTCTTTATGCAAATATATCTCTTAAGTATAATACCTGCAATATACCTTTGGCAAAAATCGTCACTCACTAGCAATAGTTAAACCAAGTTAAATAAATTCAAACTGTGGTTCAAAGGTGAGTGGCTGTAGATATCGTTCTTCTTTTGAATTATTAATTATTGACCAGAGAACCTTTGAGTTCATTTCTTATACTTTTAACTTGCAACAAGACAGAGATGTCTCGAAATTTACAAAGCTTTTGAGATTTAGAGAAAGAAAGAGGAAGAGGTTAAGTGATCCCTAGGGGTAGGACTGTTTATTTTTAAAACTTTACACATGCTGTACCACTCTGCTTTTTTTAAAAACAAAGATTTGTATGTATGTTCCTAGAATGGATGATTACATGTTTGTTCTGTTGATCTCTGAAATCACTCCTGAGGGACAGCTTGCCTGTGACTTCCCTTTATTCGGAATGGCAATAAAGAATGAGAGCCCCTGTCCACTTGTTCCACCACATACGAAATGAACTTCTCATTTGATTTTTCTGCTTTCATAAGTCCATAAATATGTATGTCTGTTTCTGAGGTATAAGGAGATCAAGAACTCTTTGCTTTAGATGGATAAGCAAGGGCTGTATTAGGCAAAGCAACTTGTCATTTGTCAGAGGATAAAATACTGGAACATGGTTTTGAGTTGTTTGAAGAGAGAGCTCTGAGTGGTAAAAAACAATGTATGCGATTTGTAGTCAGCTGAGGTTTTTCCTCTTCTCAGTTCTCTGGCTCTTATTTCTGATGGCATAAACAAAACTGTTAAATGTATTTGTGAACAGAATCCTATAAAGTAACAGTGAGCGAGCTGTGTATGTGCATGCACAGGAGGAGATGAACAATATTTTAGTCATTTTCGAAGGTAGCCTTTCAGATTTCGGCAACCGTGGTATATCATTGACTAATCATAACTTCAGAGCTAGAATCACTGGCAGAATATTCATTTCATAAGTTTCATAAAAACAATACATATGGAACTTTAATAGTAGGATTTTTGAAGTCAAACTTCTCTTAATCTCAAATGAAGATATTTATATATCTAATGCCTTAGAAAGTTTTAATGACTCAGCTAGCTTCTGGCATCTCATTGAGAAGCCCAGCACTTTTCTTGTTATAGAGGACACAAAGTTCTGTTTTTAGTCTTGAAGAGAATATGCAGATTTTCTGTTTTGTTTCTTTGGTATTAACAGTTTCTAGATTTTCTTTTTTCCTCACTTTTATGCTTCCTCTAGCATTTAAATTAAAATAGTGTTTTATGTCTTCAGAACAGAGGCTTAATCTTCCTAATTCTACATTTTTTTCTGTAGAGAACTACATTTTGTGGAACAGAATTGTCCCTAGATTGTGATCTATAGACTTTTAAATAAAGTTTACTTTGTAGACAAGGTCTCTCTGTGTCGCCCAAGCTCGTCTCAGGTCTCCCAGGTGCTGGGACTACAGATGAGACCACAGTGCCAGATGTGATTGCAGCTTGCAGAACAGTTTCCCCCACCTTCTCCTGTAGCCCCATGAGATGGTACATGATAATCCCATTACCCAGAGGAGTGAAGTTACTGCTTTTGACCACTGTCCTATACTCTGAAGCCTACACAGTCCACCTTGCCACCCAAACCATTTGATGTCCAATGGTACTCAAGGAACTGGCCAAGGCCTTATTCTGCTGCAGATTCAGCAGAGCTTTGAGAAAACCTGAGTTTGAGCAGGTCACTCTGGCTTCTCTGGGCTTTCTGGGAAAAACTCTTTGTCCAACCAGATAGGCAGTTTTATTTCTAAATCACTTCTACAACTGCTTAATTCTGTTGCTGCATTAAGAGTTATCGCCAAGTCATTCAGCAAACATTATTGTCAGGTGGGTCTATGTCCTAGAATATATTAAAAATAAATAAAATTCCTGCCTTTAAAGGCTCATAGACCAGTTATACACACACATACACACATACACACACACATGCACATACACACAAAGATGTAGATATGTAATTACAGTGATAATTCCTGTGATATAAGTTGCTAATCATTTTTAATTCATGTAATACCCCATTAGAACTTGTGGTAGCAGCTTAATATAATTCAGTTTTATCACTAATCCAGCAGTCTTAATTTATCAAGGCTCTGGAATGCTTCTTTATAGCTCATATAGTTTATAGTTTTATTAATATAACACTGTTGCAGAATTATTCTAAGTTTTTAATGGGTGGGGGGAGTCACTCTGTTTGATGAAACCTAAGACTCTAATGGGGTATGTCAATAAGTAAAGTTTCATTTTGGATTTTACTCAGTTATATCATGTCTCATCACATGATTCAGATCATTCGGTGAGCATGCCTCATCAGCCTGTTGCTGGATCTTTGAGACAGGAGGGTTCTGTAGAGTCTCCACGGAGGCAGCTGTAGCTGGACTGTCCTCTTGCTTGCTGTAATTAGTGAGCATGTTACTGAAACACATACATTTTATTGTTAATTAAAAGTTAAAGTTTTATGGCATAGCAATAAACAGAGGATTCTTATGTATTAATTAAATCTTTGATGTCTGTGTAATTGTTATGAAAGAATTGTTTTGTAGCACAAATACACACTTAAAACATCAAATATTTAAATATCATTGCATTTCAAATTATTAAATTTATTGGTCCTAATTTTATTCTTTCTAGGAAGATACAGAAGTTTTTTATACAATTTACATGTAAACTTAGAATTTCACTTCTTAACTGTCAATAGATTTCCATAATGTGAATTCTTTACTTTGGGAATTCTGTGTTTATTAGAATCATCCTTTATTTTACCCAGCATTCCTCTATGGATAAAATTAAATTGGATTTACCAAAATACATTATAATTAGAGCTTAATGAGCAAGTAGATACTGAATTTTTATGATAGAAAATCTGATTCAGCTTTTATTTTAATTTGAATTCCCTCCTGTGCTCTGAAGCTATGATTTTGCATAAGTGGTGCATGCTTTCTGTTGGGAATCATATCTATAATAATAATGCTGCAATTGAGTCTTCTATAGTGGTTTTGAGTAACTGTGTTTTACTGACAGATCATCTGTTACGAACTGCAAGTCAGCATTCCGATAGCAGTGGTTTTGCTGAAGATTCTACAGACTGCCTCTCCCTTAATCATCTTCAGGTAAAATTTCCTATTATAATAGGTACTTTTTATTAACTTCTTCATTTTATGGTGATTTTTCAGTAAGTATTGGTAAGGTGATTTGTCTAACTTTATTTTTCTAATGAAAAGAATAAAATATATGGAATGTAGATGTTAGGTAAACATTTGACTACAAATTTCAGCTTTTACCCATTCTTCATCTCTAGTCAAATTTCTTTTTTCAAAAAAAAAAATTTTTTTTTTTTGTCTTTTTGAGACAGAGTCCCCAGCTGGCCTGAAACTCACTATGTAGATCAGACTGGCCTTGAACTCGTAGAGATCCGTCTGCCTCTGCCTACCCAGTGCTGGGACTAAAGGAATGCACCAACATGCCCGGCCAGAAAATTTCTTAATTCTATGTTATTAGTAACTAAATTGCAGTGATCATTAAACTTCTTGGTCTGCTGTTTCTTTGTTTGCCATCATTGTATTTCAGTGTTGCATAATAATTATTTTGTTCATTTAATAACTCATTGTGTGGATCCAGAACTTCCTGCTTGTTCTATGAACTTCCATGTCAAACTGTGTTAGATAACCCAGGAAATGGGTGCTTCTTTATCCTTGAGGAACAACGAATTGGTATGTAGAGTGACAGAATATATAGGAAGTTTATTAAAATGTCTTTAATAAAAGTTGAAAATTGGAATGAGGAAAAAAATAAAAAAAACTTTCTAGAAACATGGCATTTAAAGGGTAAACAGGCAAGGGGGCTCACCTAAGGGCATATAGAGAGGATAATCAAATGGGGTGAAGGATTCACAGGGTTCCATCTCTAGTTGAGCTGCTGGCAATTGATGGCAGTTAGAGGAGGGAGAGTCATTTTTCTTGGGAGTGTAGCCCAAGCTCCTGTGGATGGCCCCATAAACTTTTGCATATGGGCAGCACTAACTGGTCTCAGTGTGTTAGAAAAAAGAAAAAGGACATGAAATTGGGAGGCAGACATGTTGGGAGAGGTCCAAGAGGAGGTGGAAGAAGGAAATGGGGTGTAGTTATACATAATACGATCTGTTCATGCATGAAAATCTCAAATAATAAAAACTGTCTTTAAAAAGAAAAACTAGGGGACTAGAGAGATGGCTCAGTGGTTAAGAACACAGACTGTTCTTGCAGAAGACCCAGGTTTAAATCCCAGCACCAACTTGACAGCTAACAACTGTCCGTAACTTCAGTTCCAGGGAATCCGATAGCCTCTTCTGTTGTCCACGGGCATTGCACGACATGGGTGCACTTACCTATATTCAGGCGTAACACTCATACACATAAAATAAAAATAATAACTAAAAAAATTTCTTTAAAAAAAAGAAAAACTAAAAGGACTTCTTAAAGCTAAAATATAAAGATGATAGTAATATGAAAACATTGTATAAAACTTATTGGTAAATGTAAGTGGGTACTTGGCCCCCAACATGTAATGATTTGCGTTAGGATTTGCAGCTATACAATAGTGTAAACTTGATACTTGTTTTGTAAAAATATTTTAATTTCAATTTTTTATTACTTCTGACTAGTGGTATAAGTGTAGTATTCTCTTAGATAGAGGACAGTGAATAAGGATGCAATCCAGTGTATGATCCTGAGAGTGAACGGCCAGTACGCCACAGTGTACTGTATCCAGGGTTTTATGGATGTTGGTTTTGAGGTTTGTGTTTTTGCATCCCATCATGTTACACAGTATCTATCTGTGACTCCTGTACTCACACAATTTTTTCTCATATATAGTATTCAGTAGGTTACATTAGTCAATATTTATTATAAAAAAGTTTGAGATGATTTTGCTCATATAAATGTTCTGAGCATACTTATAAGATAGAATAGGCTAAGATGTCCTATTTGACTGATTGTGTAATATTAGACACATTAAAAAAAACTAAGAAGACAAAAAAGTTGGAATATGGGAAGAGAATTTGAGAAAGATTTGTTGATTGACTGATTGACTGACTAAAGCTTTTCAGAAACTGTCAGTGAGTGTAGTTGTGATAGAATAAACACGGCACAAGCACGCCTGGAGAGTATGTCAGTGATGAGTATGGGAAGGTGAATTCTTAGCTGTGCTTTTAAATAAGGATGATAATTTCCTCTGAGAGGTCTTTCTGTGTTAATGGGAAGGAAGTTGTTCAGCTAAGGAAAGGGGCCATTAGGGAAGAAGAGTTTGAACCAGAAAAATCTAGGAGGAAACTGGAGAAGCACTCTGGTCCTGGAGAGATGTGGATCAGAAACACAGTCTGAGGGATTAGCTGTGCAAAAAGGAACATGATCCCTTTTGAAATGAAGAGATGGGGTAATCATGCTGAGAACTAGAGAAATTGTAGGTATCAGAGAAGAATGCTAAGAAAGTTTTCTTCATTTTCTCTGAGTCAGTGTCATGTGTTGGAAGGGAAATATAAGAAAAATAGAAGGTCTGAAACATCTTTTGAGAAAGTGGGAGAAAGGTAATTGTGGACCCTGCTTAGGAGCAGTAAGAATCAGAACACCTGAGACAGAAGACCATAGAAATACTGACACTTACCTCTCACATTCATCTCTCTGCCTTGATTCTTCATCCTCCCTCCCGTTTTCCCTTCACAGGTTCATGAATCCCTGCAGGCCATGGGGAGTAGTGCTGACAGCTGTGACAGTGAGACAACTGTCACTTCCACTTCCTTAGGTGAAGACCACGTTACTCCGACAGCACAAGACCAGCCTTATTTTAATGAATCAGAGGAGGAGTCTCTTGTCCCTGTTCAGAAAGGAGGATCAAAGGTGGCAACAGTTGCTGACAAAAGAAAGTCAGACAGCCAAGATTTTCCTCAGTGCAAGACTATGGAGAATACTGGAAACAAAGAGTCTACATGGGGTCCAGTTCCTGTTTCTGAAATGTTTGAAGAAGATTTGTCTCTAGCAGAGACTGGAGAGCTCCTGAGGGAAGCAAGTGGGGAAAGCGATGTGGATAAAAGCAGCGAATGTGAATTTGCCCAGTATACCACACACCATATTCTCAAATCCCTGGCTTCCGTTGAAGCTCAGTGCAGTGGTATGAGCTCTGAAAATAAAACTGGGCTTCCCTCTTCTGTGGACAGAGTTAATACTGCTTTGCAAAGAGCTCATATGAAGGTTGGCAATCTGTCTGGTCAGAGAGTAGGGCGTAGCCTAATAAAATCAAAGGATCTATTAAAACAAAGGTACTTGCTTTCAAAAGCTGGCTACCCTCTAAGAAGGTCTCAGTCTTTACCAACCACGTTACTTAGCCCAGTAAGGGTTGTGTCCTCTGTCAATGTCCGGTTATCTCCAGGAAAGGAGACCAGATGCAGCCCACCTTCATTTACCTACAAGTATACACCCGAAGAGGAACAAGAGTTGGGAAAGCCTTCGAGTGAGCATGATGGTCACTCTTTAGTTAAATCCACTATTTTCATCCCTCCATCCTCTGTGAAGAAAGACGTCCCTCAAAGTGAGGTAACCCGGCTGGAGGAGTGCCACGATGGAAGGCTTCCTGCCTGTGCGCAATTTGCTCCTATATCTCAGTCCACATGCTCCCTTCATACTGTCCACTCTGAGTGGCAGGACAGACCCTTGTGTGAGCACATGAGGACTCTGAGTGCTCACAGTGTCCCCAACATATCAGGCGCTGCCTGTAGTGCCTTCACTTCTTTTGGGTGTCCTTACTCGCATAGACATGCTGCCCATCCTTACCGAGCTTGCTCTGCAAATCCTCCTTCTGCCATAGAAATGCAGTTGCGAAGAGTCTTGCATGATATTAGAAACTCATTGCAGAGTCTTTCACAGGTAAGATAAAAAGACCTTTGGTTTTATTGCTCCGAATGCCTCTTAATTCACGAGAAGCTAAGACCCATCAGACATGAACTATGCCAGCTTGTATTCCTACATGCCTGAACTTATCTGTACCTGCCCTCCTAGACAAGTTCTTCATGGTTCTTAGGGAGAAAGCTGTAACTAATCTTGAACAAAGTAAAATGTCTGTGCTGAGAATTTCCTTTCCTTCCTAGAGGAGAGGGCTGGGCTCAGGAGGTAGCCTCTCCTTGTCAACCTCTCCTTCATTCTTTTTGTCTAGAATTAAATCATCCTGTTAAAAGCATCTTCCCTCTCAATCTTCTTTTTCTTCTTTTCTCTGCCATCGGATGTGTTGACCACTTCTTCCTTTTCTAAGTCTTCTCGTTGGCTTCGGTGGCACGTGTTCTCCAGGTTTTTGTAGCTCTTTGACTTAAGCTTTCCTCTTCACCGCCTGACCTTTGATGCTGGCTTCCTGGCACTGAATTAGTTTATTTCCATGAGCTCAAAACTGGAACCACTCCAGAAGAGAAAGAACCAGGTAATGTGTGAATTTAGAATGCATGCCATCTGTTACCATGAAGTAGTAGGTGGAAAGCCACTTTTAAAAGTAAAAATAAGAGTTGCATCTTTTCAGGTGATAGTCTGATGGGCATTTAAATACCAGTTTTGTCCTCGTGACAGCCATCTCCTGATGGTTTGTGTTTAAGCAGAACATGGGCTCTCTCCTTCACAAAACATAGTTATGGCTGTGACTAAGGTAGTGAACCCTTTCACTGTAAGCCTGTGAAGCTGAGGATTTTCAGAGCCCTGTCCACCTGCACCACTGTGGTGCACCCTAGCAGCCTAGCTGCTCCAGCTGTGGTTTCTTGATCACAAATGTCCCATCAGTAATAGCTGATAAATCTCCCCGTTCTCCACCTCACCCCAGTAATTAAATGACTCTCTTCAGTCTCCTTGCATAGGTGTGTGTTCCCATTGATACAGGGCAGCATGGCATGCAGGGGTCTCATATTTGTGAGTTCTTGGTGATCTGTATGCCTTGTCTTGTTTGGGTTATTTTGTTGTTGCTATTTTCCAACTGTAGTGCTCTGTCCTTGCCTCTCTTTGCTCAGCCCAGGTGTCACCACTGTAGGCATGTTTGCCTAACTGAATTTTTGTTTGTTTTCATAATAGTCCCCCATGCATTCAGTTTTTTAACTTCTCCTTTTTTTCTTCCTTACACTCTGAGAGTATTTGAGGACTAGGGTTGCCTTTTATCTTCACTGCCTAAAAGAGTGACCTACAGAGCGTGCTCCACCAAGACTGCATGTGACGGGTACCTGGTGCTGTCCCAGTCACATCAGTTCTTACTGTATCTGCAGGTTTCAGTTTGGATTGTCTACCTTCTCAAGGCCAGAAGGAAGTCCCATAAACATAGACATGATATATATATATATATATATATATATATATATATATATATATGTGTGTGTGTGTGTATGTGTGTGTGTGTGTTTGTGTGTAACTTTGTCTTTTCCTCTCCCAAATATGTCAACTTGGGCCTAGAATAGCTAAGACTAATAGGGAGTATTGGGGATTAATTTCTTTTGTTGCTGCTTATAGTAGAAAATATTGTCGGGTTTTTTTGTTTGTTTGTTTTAACCTGAAAGAGGTAGGAAAAAAATGCATGCCTCGCTTCTGCCTTAACAAATTAGAGAACTTGGAGTCATTTTGACATTGCTTTTTAATCCCACTTTCATTTCTTTGAAGCACCCTATGATGACAGGGCCTGAGCTCACTGCTGCTCCATATAGCACTCAGAAATCATCCACTCTACCTCTGTATGAAGTAAGTTCCCTTTTAAATCTTTCTGTTGCAAAATAATCTGTATGATTTAAAAGCATAATTTTGTTATATTACCTTTTAGAATACTTTTCAGGAGCTTCAAGTCATGCGACGGAGCCTGAATTTGTTTAGAACACAAATGATGGATTTAGAGTTGGCTATGCTGCGACAGCAAACCATGGTATATCACCATATGACAGAGGAGGAAAGGTGGGTTCATTTGTCTTAACATAGCTCAGAGCCTTTCTTCAATGAAGTGTGTTTCCAGCTTAGATTCTTTAAAACTAGGTTTAGTTGTACTGCCATGTGGACAGTATATGTTGTAAACCAGGTCACAGAGTGTTTTCCTGAGTTATGTTCTGTGCCTTCGGTGTGTTAAGGAAGACGGCAAGTAACCCGCTTTTCATTGTGTCTGGTAGTTGAGAATGCAGGACATCAAAGATCTAGTGTTACACCATCCAGATTTATAGAACTTGTTATTCAGTACCTTTGTTAGCTTATGATATGCAAGAGTATTTAAATATATAGCAGGGCAGATGGATGGTTGATAGCTAAGGAACATCTTGTTTCTATGAAGAGTATTATGAATAGAAACTACCCAACTATTCTTTGTCCGTCTTTATCCTTGTCCCAATCCTGATAGGTATGAAGTTGATCAGCTACAGAGTTTGAGGAATTCTGTCCGAATGGAGTTGCAGGAGCTGGAACTGCAGCTGGAGGAGCGCCTACTGGGCCTGGATGAGCAGCTGCGTGCTGTGCGGGTGCCTTCGTCTTTCCGTTCCTCAACGCTTGTGGTATGGCACCAGGGTACCAGGGCTCTGTGCTGGGTTTATTCATAATGTTTCTTGTGATTTAGGTCAGGGGTTTTCATTTTAACCATTTGTTTTAATGGCATTTGGACCATGCATAATGTTTAAGGAACTTCCCTACACATCAGTTTTCTGTGCAAGATGTGATAGTTTTTCATATTTACTATATTTAAAAATACATTGAAATTCTGGAGGGCTGAAGAGATGACTGGGTGGTTAAGAACACTGGTTACCCTTGCAGAGGGACATAGGAGGCTAACAACTGTTGGTAGCTTGAGTTCCAGGGGCTCTATTGCCCTCTTCTGGCCTCTGCAGGCATAGTATACATGCAGGCAAAATATTCATACACATAAAATTTTTTTTAATTGAATTTGTTTTTTTGTTCTTTTCCATGGAATTTGAGCTTCCACATTATATTCTTAATTTTACCAGTATCTTCCAAATGTTGCTTTGACATTTGAATTTTTCCTACTTTTTCATGTTTTATTAAATAAATGTATGACTATGCACACGTATATGAACATATACAGGGAAGAATGAGAAAGCGTCTACACACAGATAAAATAAGAATATTCCAAATCATTAGTGAAAGTATATTCTCATGATTTTAACCTATTATTCTTGCAAATGTGTGTTGGGAACAGAGAATCAGAACATCTGTATACCGGTCATAATAAGACATTTGATGGAATTCCATGATAGTTGAATATAGTCTTTGTGACATGAAATGATGTTTCTGGGAAATAAGTAGCTAATTAATTTTATTTTAGAGCACTTGCGGTCTGAGTAAATGTGTGCACAGGTAAACCTGTCTGCTCTTACCCTTCTAGGGAATGTGTGCCAGCAGAAGCGCTGATAACTTGTCATACCCTTCTCCATTGAATGTCATGGAACCAGTAAGCTGCTTTCCTTTTAAGTTTCTGTGACCTGACATAGCTTTTTTTCAGTTTGGATGAAATGCACACTTGTTTTAAATACAGAAGATGATAAGTGGAATTAATTGGAAGTTGGTTTGCCACTTTGTAGTCCTTTGCTGCCTTAGGCCACTAAGAAGCAAGCTTCATTGCAGCTGTGATTTATCTTTATTACTTAAAGGAGATAATGTACCTTAAAAACATTGAATTTGTACTCAAGGAGTTGTTGGAGTTCTTTCACAGTCAGATCCTATATCCTTTAGGCAGAATCTGTAAAATAACTATGAAGTGAGTAAAACTGCACTAGGTGTTCCAGGTGCCCAAATTATTGCTTGAACTTACTATGAATTTAAATTTGTTTTTGTGAATGAAATGGACCAGTTAATTAATTAAGTAGAATTATGCCTTTTACAAGTGAAGGGATTGGGACAATAATTATAGCTAGCATTTTAGCCTTTTTAGTTACCAGTCTTAGCTTGGAGAGAGATTAAGTTTTTCTGATCTCCAGGTCACGGAACTGATGCGGGAACAGTCATACCTGAAGTCTGAATTGGGCCTGGGACTTGGAGAAACGGGATTTGAAATTCCTCCTGGAGAGAGCTCAGAGTCTGTTTTCTCTCAGGCCACATCCGAATCATCTTCTGTCTGCTCCAGTGCCTCCCACACCAACAGAAGAACCAGAGGACCTTCTGGTGGTTCAGGGGGCAAACCCAGAGCCCGCCTAGTGACAAGAAAGAAAATATTCCGAGCTTCAGTGGCCCTGACACCAACTGCTCCCTCTAGAACAGGCTCTGTGCAGACACCTCCAGATCTGGAGAGTTCTGAGGAAGCTGGAGCAGCTGAAGAAGGATCACAGGCTGTAGGACCTAAATCTGAAGTGGAAGAAGGGCAAGGGGCTCTCCCCCTGATGACAACTTCTGAGGAAGGGCATCTGAATGTGGAGCAGGATGAGTTACAGCAAGTCATACGGGAGGTAGGTAAAGGCGGAGTCTGCTGCATTATGCAGATGAGTCTTGTAATAGATTTCACTGAACACCAGTTACGTGGTCTTCTTTTACTATGTATAGTAATTTTCAGATAGCTTTTGAATTATCTTTCCCATTGAGTATGTTTATTAATTTATGTTTTTAATTGCATTTCTGCAAAGTTCATATTTCAGTTTAATTCCAACTCTCTGCTCTAGTGAAAAGGTGTTTATAGAGTTTGAAGGAGGTAAACATGTGACAAGTTCTTTGGACCTCTTATTTCCGCATGTGTAAAATATGTGATTATAATTTAGACCTCATTCATAATTAAAAGAAGTCATAATTCACCTTTATATGAAAAAGTAGGAGGGGGTGATGTAAATAAATATGGATAAGTTGTTCTTTTACCTTTTTTGGCTGGACAAGTGCAGAAATTTTATGATTTTTTCATAGATTGAAATATATTGTGAAAATAGGGTCTATGCTGATAATAAGAGCATGAAGCATTAGCCATAGTTCTACGTCACCACGGGTATAGCAGAAGCTTATGAAGACTAGTAGTTGGAGATCAGAAGTATTGAGAAAATTTATAGAATAACTGCCTGTTAGCTTTCTGTTAGTCTGACAGTATGCCTGAAAAGAATGAGCTCAAGAAGCAAAGATTTATTTTGGCTGGTAGTTTCCGATGTTTCAGTCTCATTTGATCTGTGGTTTATGGGCCCATGATAAAGCAGAGCATCATGTTAGAAAGGGCATGATAGAACAGAGTTGCTCAGCCTTTATTGGCTGGAAGGGAGGGAGGAGAGATGATGACAGGCTAGGGAAGGGACCAGAGCAAGATAGATCTCCCAAGGACATGCTCCCAAGGAGCTCCCTATTTCTTTCTACCAGGTGCCACCTCTTAAATTTCTTCCCAATAGCCCATCAAATTATGAACCAGCAGTGAATTAATCCATTGGTGAGATCAGAGCCTTCATGATCTAGCCACTTCATAAAAGACTCGCTCTGGATATCACTGTATCGGGGACTGAGTCTTCCGGGGAATTTCAGATTTAAACTGTAACACTGTTTTCAGCATTGAGTTTCATTTATAAGACAAATGTGTGTACATCTTTTAGCAAACAAGAGCTCAACAGATAAATTTTATGTCTTTTTAACCTCTTTTCTAATATATCTTGAGTATTTTTTCTGTTCTAAGAATTCTTAAGAATAAGCATAAAGAGGAATTATAGTTGTCCACGTTTTTTCCCAACCAAAGTACTTAAACTCTTGATAAGAAACATCTTTTATTCTTTCTCTGACCCCCACCAAAAGTAGTACTTAGCATGTGTGAGGCCTTAAATCTGACCCCTAGCAAAACTGGTACTTAGCATGTATGAGGTCTTGAATCTGACCCCCAGCAGAAGTGGTGCTTAGCATGTGTGAGGCCCTGAATCTGTCTCCCAACAAAAGAGGTATTTAGCATGTGTGAGGCCCTGAATCTGACCCCCAACAAAGATGATACTTGGCCTATGAGACACCCTGAGTCTTACCACCAGCAAAGGTGGTACTTAACATGTAAGAGGCCCTAAATATGACAACCAGCAAAGGTAGTACTTAGCATGTGGAGGTCCTGAATCTGACCCCCAGTGCTGCTCAAGCAAAACAAAATAAAACAACACAAAAACAGTGAAACCAGCAACATACTTTATAAGGTATCCAAGGTAGTAGAAAAATACATATAAGCCTTGAAATCCTTAAACTTAAATTTAGTAGTAGGATAAACAAGAATAACCAAGAGAAAATTGAAAACTTGCACAGAAAGCATTTAGCAAGGTCTTCCAAAAAGTTTTCATGTTTTAGGCCATTTCAGTTTTTGGATCTTTGGCTTTATGGAAACATTAATTTAAACAAATAAACAAAACACCTCCAAATTTTTAACATTTCTGGTCCCACTAATTCAGATTCCCATATTATTCTAAGTATTCAAGAACTAATAATTTAGGTACAGGAAATGTCAAAATAAGCCAGAGAAATTAGTGGCTCCCAGTTTTCAAACTGCATATATCAGTTTGAATCTAATGTCTTTTTAGAAACAGTTCATAGTACAAAATCTTCCCTCAAGTTGACCAAAGAATAGTGCATATGTATATGGTGTGGTAATTCACATATAAACAGCAGTAGCTTAAGAAGTACATTAAAATAAGCATGGTCAGTTCTGCTGTGAACACACAGATTATGTATGTATCGTTAAACATCTCTGCACTGTGAAAACAAACACAATAAAAACCGTGGGGCATGTGGGTATAGAATAAGGTTAGAGGAAGACATTCCAAACTACATCAGTGACACTGAAAAGTTAAAGTTATAAGTCTAATTAAAACATTAGTACAGTTTTATATATAGTTAAATAGATAGGAAAGTGGTAAACCTTACAATAAATACAATACCTTAAAACACTTGAACTATGTTTGTAAAGTTGAGATTTGGGAGGGTTGGAGCTTGCGAGGTATATTGAGGGGATAGAAGGATGTCCTGAAATCTGACGCTGTAATACCAGGTGTGAGGAGTGCTCACTCACAGGGCTGACGCTGCTGATAACATGGTCAGGTTACCTGCATTTTGTGTTCTTAGTTGGTTCCTAAGTTCAGCTTAATACAGCTGCTTGTGCTCACCTCATGTTTCTCAAGGATGAAATGCAGATAAGCAGACTGTAAGGTGATTGCTAATGTGTAGCAAAGTCATCCAACCTTCACAGGCTAGAATACCTGTGAGTAGTAATCCATTGCTAGGTACATGTTTTATGTCACAGGTCAATATTTAAGTTAAATGAAGTAATCACTCTTACAGTAAGTACATTTGCTAGCTGAGGAAACTAATGTCTTTCTTTTTGCTAAATTTCAGATTTTTGGTTTGAAAGTTTTTCTGAAAACACAATGTTATGTTCCTTGTTTGGCACAAATACTCCCTTTATGCGTGCTTGAGCTCTCAGTTTTAAAGTTTTATTAGCCTGATATGTGCTGCAAGTAGTTTCCAAGGAAGAAAGCATTTGTTTTAGACAGAGCATTGATTCTTTGGCCAATAATACATATTGTAGAAGTCATTTGTTCCCATTATGCTGCCTTGGCCCTAGAGCATTGCTTAATCATTTATAAGAACCTCCCATTAAATATGAAAGATCTTATACTTTGTTGACATTTAAATCGGCATGCTAGGCAAATGTTTGAAGAACTTCAGAATTTGTTACTAAACTCTTAGTGCCAAGCCATCAGCTTGGAATGGAATATGGTGTAGTTTGCAGGAAATCTGGCTTAACATTTACCCTTGCTGTCTAACAAAGAAGGATTTACCAAGCAAAATATATAGATCAAATCAAACATAAGGGAAATATTGATGTACTTAACAAAACAGACTCTTTTAAAGTACTTTAAGAGCATATAAAAATTATAGATACTTAGTCTAGTGCTGGTTATAATTTAAAAAATAATTCATATTGATATCACAGCTCAGTTTTGTGAGTTTTTAAAAAGTTTATTTACAAATGATTTAAAATCCAGATTACTTCTTATTCCATTTATTTCTAACTGGTAATCTTTTAACTAAAATGTCCCCTGTGCTAAATTTCAAGTTTTTAAGTTTATTATGTCAGCTACCAAGAAAATTCAATTCAATTCCAGTTTTCCAGTAAATTCATTGCACCTAACCCCATTAACAGAGGTACCATTCAGAAGGGCAAGGTTCAATCCTGTGATGAATAGTTTTGCAGGTGAGGATTAAGTTTGGCAGGCACTTTCAGGGATGTTTTCTTACTGCACTCCTGGGTGCATGAAAACAATGCTGTCTGTCAGGCCTTTGTTGTCATCATGGCACTGCATGTGAGGTTTTTAAAGAGCGCTTTCATTACTTACAATGTGCAAGTTCAGTGGAATTCCACTTTGGAAGGAGCACATTAAAACAAAGTCCTTTCAGGTAAATATTTAATAAACATATTCTATACTTTAAACTTTTGTCAGATTAAAGATACTCCTTTTCTGCCTAGATTGCATACTCATCATAACTGGAAGAAAAGTACGGTCTTAGAGTTTTCCCTAGTCATCTATGTTTACAGATTTTTAAATAATATATGTATGTGTAAAAATTAAAAGATGACTTAATAGGATGAATGAACATGTGTCATTTGCATAGGAGCAAAGGTAACAATTAAATGTCATAGAGTAAACATAGATTGTCATATGTTTAGTAAAGTTATTCTGTGTTTATTGAAGCTCGTAGGCTTGGTTTATATCTGTCAGTACAACTGACATGTTTTAAACATTATTTTGGTAAAAACACAGTTTGCCATGTATTCCTTTGGAATGTTCTTTTAGAGAGCATTTGAGGGTCATGGCTTTGGGGCACTAGGCACTCAATAGACACCTATTAAATAGATGTGCAGCCCCACACCTGACACTAGTAGTTGTGTGTTGCCAGTAAGCAGTCCTTCCATAATGTCAAGTGTTCTGTCTTCAGTTTTCACAGCTTTTGGGAAATTGCTCGCAGAGTTAATTTTACTATCAGCCCTAGTTGTTTCCTGACTCTGAATCCTCTGTCCTCTCTAGGTTTCTGACTCTGAATCCTCTGTCCTCTCTAGGTTTCTGACTCTGAATCCTCTGTCATCTTTAGGTTTCTGACTCTGAATCCTCTGTCCTCCCTCTAGTTTCCTGACTCTGAATCCTGTTCTCTCTGCAACATGGGGAACTTTAGAACTAATTTGTCTATGAACTTTTTAAATAAAATAACTTACTGTAGTCATTATATTATTTTCAGTGCTAGTCTAAATGTAGTTGCTTCTCAACTTTCTCTTGCTTTTTAAGTCTGATGCCATCTCTCATTCCTCTGCTCTCTTGCCCTCTCATTCATTCATTTACTAAGTGCTTGCTTTATGCTCAAACTAGACCCCTCCCAGAAGTAGCTCACTGCACAATTCCCACTTGACCCTCTTCTCTATTCCTATTTCTTTCTTTTTAGAAAGAAATGAATTTATCAGTCAGTCTCTATTCTACCCCCTTCTGGTCAAACATGCTCTTAATACAGAATTTTTATCTTCCCTGTCACATGAAATTGTAAGTTTTAAGATCTGCCATTATCTAAGAATCTTTTTAAAAGTTTCTTCAAAACGTATTAGCTTTATCATTATTGAACTAATATAATTATTTTTCCCTTTAGTATTTTATGAGACAGTATTCATTTTGTGTGTCCATCTAGAGTAATACGTGCTTGACAATGGAGATTCATTTTTGTTTTCTGTTCTTTTATTGAGACAGGGTCTAACTCTGTTACTCCAGATAGTCTCAAGCTCCTGGACTCAAGTGATCCTCCTGCCTTAGCCTCCCAGGTAGCTGGGAGAACAGATGCAAACCACCCTATAAGCTGCCAGTAATATTCTGGGTTACCCCCAAAATTTAGCATGCATTTTTAGTTGGTAAAATAGCACCCTAGCTAGTTAGCTAGTTTGTTTCTTGAATGATGAAGAGAAAGGAGCAGTAATAAAATCACCATGTTGTAGTGTAGTTGCCTGGAGGGCACTGCTTGTTGTCTTGTCAGTACAGGTTTGCAGTAGATCTTTCTCTGTTTGCTTTATACACGATGGCTGTGACACTCTGGTTTTTATGTTTATGTCTTAATAAATATTCACTAAAAATTAACCTAAAGTGCTACGGACTTAAGAAACTATGTCAATTCAAGTTCTAGAAATGTTGTTGGAAGGTAAAATAAAAATATTTAAATATATAGCAGGGCAGATGATGGATGGCTGTAGCAAAGCCATTTTTGGAAAGACTTCAATTGAGATGTTTTCAGGATGTGTTTAAGAACATTTTAGGAAATAGATCAAGCTGACAGGAAACTGGAAATGTAGAATTCTTAAAAGCTAGTTGAGAGTGTCGCTGTGCTAATTTGGGAAGACATTATCAATTTACTTCAGGAAATGCACATTTAAAGACTTTAGAAAGGGCTGTTTAGAAAGCTATATCATTAAGGCGAAAAGGAAGCACATGGAGTCTTTAGACATCTGGACAAGAAACTCGTAATGGAATTGTCATTGCCTCGGGTCTCTGCTTTTTTCAACAATTGAATGAGTATCCTCTCTCTCTCTCTCTCTCTCTCTCTCTCTCTCTCTCTCTCTGTTCTCTCTCTGTGTTCATTCACATCTGTATAGGTGTGTGCATGTATTTGGAGGCAGAGGACAACCTCATTTGTTTTCCTCAGGAGACTTCTACTTTTTTTTATAAAACAGGGTCTCTCCTGGCCTCTGGTTCATGGATTAGGCTATAGGCTAGGCTGTCTGACTTGTGAGCTTCAGAGATCCACCTGTCTCCACCTCCCCAGTGCCTGGGTTACAAGCACACATCACCATGCCTGACTTTCTTCCTTTTTTCTTTTTTTTTTTAACAAGGATGCTGGGGATCAAACTCAGGTCCTTAGGCTTGCATGGCTAAAACTTCACCAACTTCTCCAGTCCTGATATATTCTTATCTGGAGCCACACAGGTGACAAATGTACCATACCACTAAAGAAACAATGACTTCTTAGAGTTTATGGTTGTTGTTTGGATGTTTTTCATGTTTAAAGAATAAATTTTACTAAACAAAAATTTCTTCCCATATAAAATGTGCATCTTAGAAGCTGGGCATGATGGCACACACCTCTAATCCCAGCATTCCAGAGGCAGAGAGAGAAGCAGACAGAGGCAAGTGGATCTCTGAGATGGGGCCAGCATGGTCTATATAGCAAATTCCAGGCCAGCTGGGACTACAGAGAGACCCTGTCTGAAAAATACTGAAAAAAAGTGCATGTTCGAATAGTGTCTAACTTCTATAATAGTTTGCTTTAATTGATATAACCAGGCAAATTGTGCCTGTATGTCACTTTGTCACCAGCAGGTTTTCTTAGCAGTGAGAGCATGAATTCTGATGACTGCCTTTCCAACAGACATCAGTAAAGGGCAGAAATGCAAACCTCACAGTCAGTCAGTCCTTATATTGTGTCATGAAGTAAATTACTAAAAGGTTTTAAATCTGTGAAGTAATATTTTATCGTGTTCACCACATAACAATTGGGAGTTTACATAATGTCCTTAGCTGAATTTTATCAACCCAGACTTGCATTGCAAATACTTTGTGTGTCACATGAAAGCTGTAGTTTTCTCTGATTTAGCTGACTGCAAATATTAAATGGTATTTATGCTTTTCGAAAAACAATGGAAGTCAACCATATTGTTAAGTGTATATTTTTCTCCTTTTCTATTATAGATTAAAGAGTCTATTGTTGGGGAAATCAGACGAGAAATTGTGAGTGGACTTTTGGCAGCAGTGACTTCAAGTAAAGCATCGAATTCAAAGCAAGATAGTCATTAAATGGAATTTATTAGGTAATGTTCTTTATTTAGCTAGATATAAGTTAACACTTGTTTTTTATTGTTTTCATAATGTAGTTTTGTTTTTATAGCTAAATTTCTATTTTTACAATGTATGTAATATGATGTCCTATGGTGCAAAAACCATATACAACCCATTAAAGCATAAAGAACTCAAATGTTAATCATAGAATTACCTATATTGTAAATTTACTTTGAAATTTCATTATAGTAAATAAATCCTGAAACTGAGCCTTTAGACCTGAATCTTATTGGTTATTTCAGATGTGTAGTTTGTGGAACATGAGTTTGAGAATTAATCACAATTTTTTAATACTCTCCTAATTATTTTGTCTTTAAAGAACCTTCCCATAGATCCATCTAATCATATAAAAACTTTTATGTGGTTTACTTGTTATGATGAATTTTATTTTATCACCTATATCTAATTATGTTTTATGAATTATATATTAATAGCAATGCATGTCATAAGCAACTCCTCGGCTGTCATCTCAAAAGCCAGAGATAAATGAATTAACTCTTTAAAAGATATATAGCAGCCAGAAGATTGTGTGTGCATCTGTGTAGATATCTGTACGTGTATGTAATGAAATTGACATCTCCTTTCAAAGAATTTTCAAAATTGTATTTGAAAAGTGTTTAATGCTGACTTTTCCTTCTTTTTAAGGTTGGCATGGATCCCATTAACTGTAATACTGGCATTATCCTGATTTTTCCTGGTGGAAACATTACCTATTCTTTGGAAGATTCGGTTTGCTGAGCTGGGCTACTGTGTGCAGTGTACAGTGTGCATTTCTGTATGCACTGTGCAGTGTACATGTCCATATGCAATGTACAGTGCATTTTTGTATGCAGCATACAGTATGCATTTCTTCTATGCATATATTTTAAAAAACATACATAGAAACTTAGGCACTTTGTTGAATCATTTCTTAACTATCAGGCTAGGAATTTGTAAAGCCTAATATTTATTTGTATGTCAATATTTTTCCAATTGATTTCCTGCATAGAAGTAATTATAAAACTTGAAAACTTCCAGATATAACCAACTTACAAATATTTCTTCAGACTAGTTTCTTACAACACTGACCTCTATGAGGTATTTACTGTGCAATAACGGATTCATTTTTTGAGAGCTTGAAGCAACCAATGACTTTTCCCTCCACTGCTGTTCATTAGTGTCACTTCCAAGAGGACAAACCATCTGTTGTAAAAATCGCTTTTAATTCTTGAGAAGGCTGCTAAGCAGCAGTAGGGTAGATCCTATGGGGCTACCTACAACTGCTTCTTGTTCTTACACTGTAAGCCTTGTTGCTTTACCCAAAACAAACTTAACTTTATAGCTTACATGGTATTTTTCTTTTTGGAAATGTGCCTTATGTTAAACACTATGTGCTTTCTGCATTGTCAAAATGTCTTATTATAAGGAGATGTTTCTTCTGTCTTTTAGACTAAATAGTAGTATTATCAAAATAATGGGGCCTGTGACTTGAATGAATAGAAATGAATAAGCAGGCTTTAGTTTTTCCAAAATGACAGGTGTGTTTTCCTCAGATATAAATGATTTTCATTCAGTTTTAACCTTTGGAAACTCTTGGTTTTTCTGAAAGAAAAAGGAAAATGGTTTCTTATTTGGTATTATATGTGTCAAATAAATGTATAAAGTAACAACCAAATGTTGTTAGAAAGTAGTCTTTTAGCATTTATAATTTTCAGCTCATACTATGTTTATCTGGGAAGTTTTAGTCAAAAGTGGTTGAAATATTAACATTGTTCCTTGAAAGAGTATCTAAAAGGTTTATAAATGTTTGAAATATCACACAAAGGCTGATTTCTAAAAAATTAAACAATAAAGTATTTATTTTGCCTAAAATGTTGTTCATTTCTTTTCTTGAACTACAACATGAAGAGTTTGGATTACATGATGACTGATGCTCCCTCCCCTGAGAGGCTTCCAAGGAGCTTCAGAAAGTGCAGCCCACCCCACCAGAGTGACAGTGGTGTTCCAGCCTTAGAGTTCCTTTCTAAGGCTCGGTTGCACTTCTCTTTAAAATATACTGTTAAGCTATAAAGAACAAATATTAAGGCAGGCATGGTATGCATGCCTGTGATCTCCTTACTGAATAAGTTGAGGTGGGAGAATCAAGAGTCAAAGCCATCCCCACCTACGTATCAGGTTCGACACCAGTCTGGACTACATATGACTGCCTCAAAAAACAAAAAGAAACAGACATTGAAACATTAGTCTATTGTTAGTCAAATTATTCAGCAATTAAACCAGTTGATTGTGACAATAATGGGAAACATGAAAGCATACATCCCACATTAATAGTGACATAGGCATCCATAATTTTGACTATTTGTAGTTTTAGCCACTTTTAGTTTATTTCTAATAGAACAGTATTCTCAGATTTGAATGATCAAAACTACAGATACAACAATTGAAACAAGCTGAGCTAGCTGGCAAATGAATAGGAATTAGGTGAATCTCAACGCTGTACTTTCCCTCTCCTTGCATGAAAAGTTATGTTCTGGGGCTGGAGCGATGGCTCAGCAGTTAGGAGTACCGACTGCTTTTGCAGAGGACCTAGGTTCAATTCCCAGTACCCACATGGTGGCTACGAATCGTCCTTAACTCCAGTTCCAGGGGAGTCTGAAGCCCTCTTCTGACCTCCGCGGCATTGCACGACATGGGTGCATTCACATACATACAGGCAATACACTCATACATATAAAATAAAAATAAAATATTAAAAAAAGAAACGTTATGTCCAAGCTACCATGCTATGTAGATGAGTAATGGAGCTCTAAAATAGATGGAATATAAGGCATTTAAAAACTTGTTTTTATTTTATGTGCATGAGTGTTTTACCAGCCTGTAAGTGCACTGAGGTTGTACACTGCTTACAGAAGCCAGCAGAGGACATTTGATTCCTTGGAACTTGAGTTATGGATGGTTATAGCTGCCTTTTAACTTAAAAGTAAGCTTAATAGTGTTCAATTTTAAAAAGAATTTGAGAGAGAGTAGCTTATAATGGTCAGAGAAGTCTACCAAGTAGTTTAAAGACAGGGAAGTTGAGACTGGGTTTCATTACTCAATAGGAACATTAGCAAAAGTTATCCAGAATGCCAAAATTGAATTTAAATTACTATGTGCCTGATGAGAGCAATGTTTTTAAAGATACAAATTGTTCGTACCTCCTGTACACCGTGCCAAGACCCTTCACAGAAAAAGGCATAGAAGAAAACCCTGAAATGAGTTTTGAAGTTTGTAGTCACCGATATACCAACAATGGCCAATTTCTCAGACTTAAAGCACATGTTGTACCAATTCCTTTTTAGGAAGGGATTAGTGGTTAAAAACAAGTGCACCTGTGTTAAACACTGTAATTTGTTATTCGTGTTCTTGAGTTAATTGTTTAGTAAATCCATGTACAGATGATTCATGGTTTTCTTTCAGTAGAAGTCAGTTCCTTCTATTATTTCTGTAGTCTCAAGGTTAAAATAAAAAAATACCTTGAAGTATTATAAAGCAGATGCTATCTCAGTAGACTCACAAACATCTATTACATCCCCACCTGGACACAGAATAATTAGGGATATTACTCAAACCTCAGTTGTGAATGTCTTGATTTATATTTGGTCAGAAATGATTCCATTGTTACCTATTAACACATGCAAAATATAAGCATTCAAATAGAAATAATATGATTATTGAGACCAACTTATGAGGACAAGTGGGAAGGTGTTAGTGATGAGAAACAATGTAATTTTCCATCATGCTGAAACATGGTGCTTCTTAAATCATGCTCACTAATGCTGAGGATCCATGAGAGCAATTCATGTATCTTTACAGTAGCCTTATAGAAACATGATTCTAAGTGCTTTCCTCACTTGCCCTTCTTCTCCACTAGAATTCTTAATTAGCTGATGTTGTATACCACGCTGTTTGGAAGAGGAGAACCTTCTTTTAGGTGTCACCAGTGTATACCTTAGTGGCAAACCAGCATTGCTCATAGCTTACCATTCTCCCATGAATCCCTGGTGAAATCGTCATTTCAGCTTTCAGTCTGATCCCTGGGCTTTGATGGGTAGAAAGCACCAATGTAGGCAGGACTCCTGTTCTCTGCCAAACATCCTCATTCAGATTAACTCATTCAAATCCACTCTGGCTGAATCTTAGAAAGATTCAACAACCTGTTCTCTTACTTTTAAGAACAGACAAATATTTTAATGACATGTTTAGGATCCTTACTTTTAAATTATTTTCTACTCTAAAATATCACAGATTTAGTCAACATTCAATGAAAAAAATTAAAAACTAATACATTTTCTTAATTTTTTATATTTTAATTTTTGCCAATGTGTGTGTATGTGTGTATGCACACGTGTGTGCAGGTGCCCATGGAGGCCAGAAGAGAGTAGTGGATCCACTGGAGTTGGAGCTTCAGGAGGTTGTGAGCCTCCCCACATGAGTGCTGGGAATGCCAGGCCTCCACAAGAGCAGCAAGTGCTCTTCATTGCTGAGCCATGTCTTCAACCCCCAGCAGTTAGCTTTTTATTATTTTATTTTACCACTGGCCAATTTAATAACATTATTAGTATTTGAGCTAAGTCTTCTAAAATTCATGAATGTGAATTATTATTTGGTGTAATTTCTTATTAGTTTCCCATTGAAGTATAAGAAGGTCAAAGCAGGACAAAACATAACTATCAGATATAATTCTAAACCAATTTGAGAAAAGACACTAAATCCCTGGAAGACTCTTTCTTTGGTCCATTTTGCTTGTAATGCTCATAATGAAAAGAGAAGACTGAAATCACTGGTAATTCCCTGGATTCTCAACATACATTTTGACAAATTATTTTTAGAAAGTAAAACAGGACTTAAGGAAACATAATCCTTTGCCACAAATTTAAGTCGTTAATAGTATACAGTGGTGAATATCATTCATGATTTGGGGAACATTTTCCCCAAATGGGCTTAACTTTTCCCAATTTGGGGTTTAAATCTAAAGGTCTATTTACAATGTTTCTTGGTTAACTAATGAATTCACTACATTAAAGAAAAGCTGGCTGCAAAACGCTTTTCAAAATAATTCCCTTATTCCTTTCAGTTGACAGCAAAAGCAAAGGGAATGAAAAAGAAGCCTGTGTGTGTGTGTGTGTGTGTGTGTGTGTGTGTGTGTGCATGTGTGCACATATCAATTATTTGCTTCATAATTTTAAATTTGGAAAAATATTCTTCTAAAATACAAATGATAGAAATCAAGCTTCCAAACTTTCAGCTGAGTGTGGTGGCTCATACCTGTAATCTTAGCACTGGAATGAGGCAGGAGGATTGTCAGGGGTTCAAGGTGAACCTGAGCTACATACATAGTGAAGTCCAAGCCAGCCCATTCTACGGGGAGAGACAGTCTACAGTCAAACAAACAAACAAACAAATCTTTGCAACATTTGAGGTGATAGAATATGGATTAAAAAAAAAAACTTGAGAAAAACTAACAAATTAAGCCAGTTTATTCTTTGTGTGTGGTGTATGTACATGATCCTGTGTCTGTGCATGTAGAGCCCAGAGGTCAATGTTTAATGTCTTCTTCAATAACTGTCCACCTTATTTTTTCAGAGCAGTCTCTGAACTTGGAGCTCATAAATTCAGATTGACTGGATAACAGCTCCAAGGATCCTCCTGTCTCCTTGCCAGCTCAGATTGCATTCATGGGCCACCACTCCTGGCTTTTCTGTAGGTGCTGAGGATTGAATTTAGGTCCTTATGCTTGCACAACAAACACTTTACCAACTGAGCCATCTCTCCAGCCCCAGTTTATTCTCACTCTTACTGTGAAGTCCAAATTAAATGATTTGATTTGTTATCAACACATATATCACAAGCAAAATATTGTCAATTCAGTAGACATTATAATTACTTTTGAGAGGTTCTGATAGTCAGAATGTTAGATTCTGTTGATGTGTGGTAACCAACTAATTCTCGACTTAATATGATTCTGAACAACATACAGTCTGAAGTAGAAAAATAGTCAACTGCTAGATAATGCACATAATTCAGATCACAGATTAGAGAGGCACTGCACTATGGATGATACTATATCTTCTTCCTGGAAGGAAGAAATGTGCCATTTGGGCCAGGGGATTGCTAAGGGAATGACCAAGTCTATCTCAGAGAGGGAATCAAAATGTGCAGCCATCTATATTTTATGACCTTGACCTCTCTTACAGGAAAGAAGAGAAGACACAGTTTTGAGAAGTGGTGGCCACTGCCAACTTCCTGGTTTCTTATCCAAACAAGGAACATTTAGCCACCTCCAAAATATTCTGACATAATACTAGAAAAATCTCCCATATACACTAAGTGCTTCTTCCCAGATCATCTGCTTCTGAGGTTGCTGGTCTGAGATCGCATAGTTATTTCCCTGAATCATAAGTGATTTCTAATTGATAATGCTGGTTTGTGATATAGCTATCAGAAGATGTTTACACAAATAAGGTATAGGCTCACTCGTGGAATCTAAAAAAAAAAAAAAGAAAAGAAAAAAGTTGATTTTATAGCAATTGAGAGAATAGAAGCTACCAGAAGCTGGGGCAAAAGAGAAGAGGAAAGGGTGACTGGGATAAAGCTGAATGCCAGAGCATGTGCCTGCCATGCAGAGGCCCCGAGTCTCCAGCACTGAAGAAGGGGAGGTGAGGGATGGGAAGAAGTCGATCATGAGTCCTAAGTTACAGTTGCACTGGCATGAAACATTCTGATATGCTGTGGCCCAATAGAGAGACCAGATGATGATATATTGTATGCTTTAAGAAGCCAGGAATAAAAGGAATTTGAAAATTTTTAACATAAATAAATGAT